GACATGGCTAAATTACTTATAAAATTACCTTTTTAACGATGTGTCACAAAAACTACTTTCCCTATTCAAATTGTTTGGGTGATAGTCACCGAGAGGTGGGGGAAGAGGTATGACAGTTGAGGTTATGATAGAAAGATGTATCCCTTGGATTGAAAATCGACGTGTTTTTGTGCCCCATCGGTATATGTGTTACGAGCAACGTGATCAGCTGGGCATTATTAATAAGGACCAGCAATTATTAAAAATGCCCAAGAGCAATGGGCAAAGTGATTAATTTATCACTTTGACCGGCCATTATCAATAATGCCCGACGGCCCGTGGTCCATGTATAAGTCACATTTTGCTATTGGCACTTGATGTGGGCTATCAGAATATGTCCATGAATCTTTTATATAGGGTGTCATCTGACTTGGGCCACCCTCATCTTTGAATTTTTGAACACCGACCTGTATTTTTTGTTCTATTTTTTTGTAACGTTCATGCAAAGAAGTAACTTTCAGACAAAAACTGAAAGAAGATGCCCTCCTAAAACGATTACTTGCATATAAACATCTCATTCGCACTTTTTCTGTATAAAAATTGAGAAGCAGAAAGCCAAAACCTTCACTTCTGAAAAGTCTTGAAACTAACACTACTCCACTTCATCCAATCATAATTCACCTCCATCTAACTTAAAAACTAATCTTTCATCAGAAAAATACCCCGTTGTCGATAAAGAACAATCGCAACTGAAATTCGATCCCGCTCAAAATACATCGAAGTGTGCCGTTCCCGAAGGCGCCTAATTCGTCATCCCGGAAACATATCGCCGGAAAAACAGATTCGAGAGTAACAATAAATCTTCCAATTTCCATATTTTCATGTTCGATAGGGCGGAATGCGGTCCTTACCCACGGGAATCGCAAAGGATATTCCGGATGTCAATCGGAGATTATTGATGCCGATGACATTCCCGTCCAAGTTGACGAGGGGTCCTCCCGAATTTCCGAAAGTTATTGAAGCGTCCGTTTGGATGTACGTCATTGAATAATTCTTCAGCCCGAGCTCTTCGGCTGGACGATCTACGCAGCTCACCTGGAAAAGAGAAGGGAAAGTTGAATGAGGGTTTTTTCTTGAACTGTCGAATTTGATGATTGGGTGAAGAATTTTTCGAGTGACTTGAGTGGTGATCAATAATAATGATTTTTGAACAACTGTAATTGAAAGTGACATTTTTAATGGATACCCTGATTAATCATCTTAACAAAAATGGATNAATTGATAGAGTACAAATAAAATTTCTGAAATCCCTCAATCAAACAAAACTCCTTTACATTATTCAACATGCGGTGAAATCACCTTTGAACTGAACTGAAACCATTTTATTAGATTTACCAGCTCATGAATTTGATCTGCATTAATTTGAGGTATCATCAGGAGAACTACAGTAGGCAATTGATATAAATAACAGTAGCTTCAGTTTAGTTTATTACTCAACATCACAAATCACAAACTGTTTTCAATAAGTTGTTCTCATCTCAAAATGATAGTAGACATATGTCATTAGCAACATCTATCGACTTTTTTCCCCTGAAACGTTGAAAACAATGACAAAACAATAGATACTCACAATTCCAACAGTTACTGAGTTGCTCAAAGACAACGGACTTCCCAAAGCAACAACCCATTCGCCGATGGCCGTATCTCCAGGGGTCTCTAGCTGCAAACTGGGTAGCTTCTCCAGAGCCTCGAGCTTCAACAGAGCTAAATCAATGCTCATGTCTGCATCCTCCACCTAGATCGAATAGATTATCAAAGAGTTGCTTTAAAAATGTGAGGTTTCATATATTTTGGCCATATTTGGGCCAACAAAAATTACCAGACGAAGTCTAAGGTCAGCTACGGACCGCAGAGAACCTTAAGCAACAACCGACAAATCAGTTGTAGTTGAACATGCTTTCAACAAAGAAGGCACTCACATCATTTCGTAATACTGGATGAAATTCAGAATTAGTAAGCAAGAGTCATTCGTCATTCGTCAGCCATGTTCAGAAAATCATATCCGTTCCCAGGTGTATTTTTTCACAATATGATTATTGAAGATCTCATGCAATTCCCGAAATTCACATTCAAAAAAAAAACTTAAGGCAAAATTCAATATGTGATCAGAAGGATTATTTTGTTTGACTATGTTGCTCTTTTTATACTTCTAAGAATTTGTTCCATCACATATTCTACAGTTTTTTTCTGTCCAGTTACTCTCTATTCTCATTAAGCATATTATGTTAAGTGTAAGAGTAGCTATAGCTAAGCTTCGCCTATGATGTAATATCAAATACTAAATAAAGTCGATTGTTAACCGTAGTCTGCGCTGTGCTGGTCAAGCCCTATCCCCCGAAGCCCCGATACATTCGGGAGGACGCGCCAGCATAATCAATCAACGACCACTACCCACACTGTGGGGTAAATGATCATTTGGTTTCGAGAATCATGTGCCCTGAGCAAGCGCAGCGAGCCAAGAACGACAGCCTTCTGCATCTGTTCGGTATAATTTTAAGATTCGAGAGTAGACAGGGCAACATTCCACCTAGGACTCCAATAATCAGAACAACCATCTTGACAGAGGGGCCCTACGCCCTGGAGCGTAGGGCAACACCGGTGTCTCGTCAATGCCGTAATAGTGCCGTAGATGGTAATCTAGTACTCTTAGGGCCGCGTTATGTCGATGGATATAGGACGAGGCTGCATATGCTGGACATGCTGATAGCAAGTGCATTAGGGTCTCAGGCGCCTCGCGGCAGGCTCTGGACCTTGTGTCGGGAACATCTATACCCATCACGCGACTGCGGTAGACTGAGGTGTTGAAGACACCATCCTGACAAGTCATGATGAACCCCTCAGTTTTCGACTTCAGCCCACTCAACCTGAGGAAAGCGAAAGTCAAGCGCTTTGATAAGCCAAGGCCTCCAATGTTATCATTATCATTTTCCTTATTACATAACAAGGCAACAGAAATTCAAAAACAGCGATAATTTCGATAGGAAAGAATAGGCAATGAACATCAATTAAGTCTGACTACCTGTCCTTAGATGTACATGAACAAGGTCGAGTAATCCAATTAGAATAAACCAAGTCCACTAGTAATAATCTAAAACCAGAGTCAAATAAGCATCCTAGTGAATGAATTTGGAACAAAGGCAGCACCAACTCGAGCACTGCGACAGTTACCACATCGCCTTCGATAATGTCTACTGCAGTAGTAGCCGAAACGTCGGGCACGAAAACTCGAAGAACACGGTCAAAAAACCTGAGAAATAGCTTTTACACTTTCGAAGAGTTGATGATCAATGGCTTGCATTACTCGTATTTATGAATAATTCAGAGGCTTAACAGTCAAGTATAAAGATGATATATTATTAGGAAAATGCTGGAATGGATGGAAAAATAAAAATATTGGCACCTCCGAGAGTAGCTTTTATAGAAAAAAAAGAAAGCTTATATCAGAACCGTAGGCGCTTTGAGCATCAGACATGAGTATTAATATTCAGATAATATTTGCTAAAGTCAATTTTGGAGTTGAGTCAAAGAATTCAAAGTAACTAAGACTTGAAATATAGGGAAATATCTGTGAAACCACTCCTTTCTATAAATCTGGTGGAAAACAGGGAAATTCAGTAGCTCAGAAGGAAATTTACACAGTGTGATATATATCGAAAAATGAAAAACAGGAGCAAGATCCATTGAAACGAGGGAAATTTGAGTGGTGCCACACCAGAAAAAAGTCTCATTCACATCAATATCAATACATGTTAGAACTCTACTTTATTCGACAAGGGTTTGAGAAATAATATGGAGGAAAAATTGAAAAAAAATCCACAGAATCCTTCTTATTCCATCAATGTTAGAGCTAAAATATTCCAAGATTTGCAATATACAAATCTTTGTGAAAGAATTCGTCGTTTCTATTTCTTACTGAAAATTAATTTTGTTGAGGAGGACCAAGCTCAAAGAAAGACTGCTGATGAGATTTTCAGCAGATATAAATGGATGTTCTCAATACATCAGAAATCTTATGATTTCGCAGATATCATCTAACTGCCTCTTGCAATGATAGCTGCATGAAGATGGAAATCGTTTTCTCAAATTTTGATTTATTTCAAAGCTCGACCCTGTGAGAATCATTGTCATACTCACTTTCCAGTTGAGAGAATGTCAATAACCTGGAATTTGTCCTGAGCTGAATGGAACATAGGATCATACTCGACGAACAAGAAGTTTTGAGAGTTTGGTAAAATTGATAAAAAGAACTGGATTGGCAAGTATCGTGGTTGTGTTGGAGCCTGGAACGTTTGAGGCAAGACGTGTGTTTTTTACAAACTACCAACATTCTGAATATGAATGAAATTTTCAGTCACTTACAAGTTAATGGAGTACTATTTCTTCTTAGATTGAAAGTTAATGAGTATCCTCCAATGGAATATCATTAATAATGTTAACGGCATGCCCATCAGGTAACTACTAGTTACAAATCATCAACAGTGACAACAGAGTTAGAAATGAAGCTGTTGTATGTATTCGAACATCCATCCATTAGTGAGAGATTAGAAAGAACTAATCTGTCAACATCAGTTCTCACGTCATAACCAAACCTTCACCAGTTATTTTGGATATTTGTGTCTTCTGACAATTCCATAGATTGCGTCTCTGTAAGAGATGTCACAGACGGTACTGTAAGAGATGTCAGTACTGTTTCAAATCAGAACAGTACTTTCTAGTAGAGTGTGATTGATGCAACACTCTTGGGCTCTGAATATAACTTCTTGCCTTACAGTAAAAGTTGTAAAAGAAGACACAGGACGAATTGCGTTCCGCGGTCGAACGTTTGAGACTTGTTAACACCTTCCATGAATAATGGGGTTTACAGCTGAGTTTTAGCAGTTTCGAGCCATTCCTGACTGATATTCCCGAAGTATATACTGAGGCTATTCCACATAACGGTTATCATACTCACTATTTCTCGTCTTTATGGTACTAACCTGCACCTTGAAGCTTCTTCCATCCCGCATGATCGCCCTTATCGTCGATTGGGGCTTATTGAGGACGACATGTGCGTTAGTTAAAGCCCAACCATCTTCGCTGATGACAAATCCAGAACCGTTAGAAGTAACAATAGGTTCTCCCGTCTCCAGGTCCTTTTTGTAGGGGTCTCGTATTTCTAGATAGAAAACTGCTGGGGCGCATTTCATGACGACTTTGTTGATGAAATTGTATCTCTCTCTGACTGTCTTGTCTTTATCGTCACTTTCAATGATGTTCAGGCTGCAGATAATGATTGTGATGATGAAAATCATACGGAAAAGCTAATTGTTGATGAATTCAAATGAAAGAATATAATGATAGTAGGAGTTGCCGGACTTCAGTCCACCCCCACTCCTCCACATTTCATTGAGGGGTGTGTGTGTGTAAGAGTGAGAGGAAGGTTGGATATATGAGAGTAAGACGGAGATGGTATGGAGTTGATCCATTTTGAAGATGAGGCGATCAGTCAAGCCACCGCAAGCATCACAGGTTCACTGTTGTCGGTTGTAGAATGAATCGTTGTTCATAAAGCGTTGCCGATTTTGAAATTGATTATGAACGGTTAGGAATACGGCTCAAGGAAAATTGTATGGTGATGAGATGACGACGATGATGACAAGGAGGATCTAACGTTTCAACGTGAAATCCAACATATCAGAAGGACACTTGGTCGTATCATCAAAAGGAGAAGGAAGAGGAGATTGCACCAAGAAGATTTGATGTGTATGAACCTGAATAGAAAAATTCATATAGGGTGTCGTTTGCGAATGAAAAAAATATACGGTAACGAGGATCTAGCGTTTCAACGTGCGATTCCTTCTTCTGATGAGGAACGTATACAGTGTGGCTTATTTGAAGCGTGTACTATCATTTGTCATTTATGGTGTTTTGCTAATCAAATTGGCGTCATCAGGAGATAACGATCTGTCCGCCTGTCACTTGTCATTTATAATTTCACGATGCGCATTTGAAACTCACATCAAAGCATTCCACAAAAATATAAACGCATATACAGAGTGACTCAGTATCTCAAAATACGTCTTGAAGATTGTAGTAATAACGCGTGACAGAAAGGAAGCCAGAATCGAAATTTCCATAAGACATTCGAAGTCTAATTGAGAGAAAAAGTCTTCATGATATAACGTGAAGAATTTATATCAAATTCATCTTGCATTGAATTTTCTGAAAAGGTAAAAATGAAATCCATTTTTTAGAAGAACAAAACGATGATGTTTTATCCGTCAACATTCTAGTATGATATTTCCGTTTATGTTCAAACCATTGAATAATAAACATGTTCTCTGTAGTGAAATCGTGTTTCATTATTCGACGGCTTGAAAGAATGAAATATTAAGTTGTGAGTCCTTTTATAGTTTATCGAAAGGTTACCGATTAATTTCTGTCTGAAAATACAGACTATCAGCCGACTGAATTCATAATTGAATAGAATTGGCCGATACTTGATGGAAATCCATAATGAAACTCATTGATACAGTTTATTGTATGATTTTGACTATAAAAGCTATTACAAAAAACGCAACACGTGCTTCGCTATACAATAGCTTTCTCAAGCGTTAATAATCAACCCTTGAGGAAGCTATTGTATAGCGAAACACCTGTCGCCACCCTTTATAGTGAAAATGATACAATAAACTGTATTAATGTGGATAAAATTGATCTTGAAACTACTATACCCATTTATTATTCACAATTTTGAATGATAGACTATTCTTAACATTTTTCATATCAACTCAGGTGAAATATGTTCGTCATCTTGATTTCATTCGGATTGGAGCCTAGCTCCCTTACCCTTTAAACTGGCAGGTGAAATATTTTATATCTTCAGAATATATAGAACTAATGTGCAACTTGTTTGTCAACATTCATTTTGTTATCAGATACGGGAAAATTCACAGACACTAAATGTATTATCTTCGTAAATACTAGTCAGTTAACGGTATTTGTGAAAATATTAAGGACGACTCGGCGATTCATCATGTGTGAAATAGGTGTCATGAAGTTGTGTTTTATGATGCAGAGCGTCTTAGACTGGAAACATTTTTGTTGATTGAATATACAGAGTTGCTAATTCGTTTGTTTGTTTGCTCGTTTGTCCGTTCGTTCGTTCGTCCCTTCGTTATTTCGTAAGAAACGTATACAAATCGTATCAATATACAACGTTCAAGCCGTTCATAAACAACTTTTCATTTTACAACCGACAACACCAAACCTGTGATGATTACGCTGGCCTCACTGACCACGTTATCTTCAAAACGGATCACCTTGATATAATCTCCATCTCACTCTCATACGTCAAAACCGTCCTCTCTTACACACATACACACACCTCTTAAAAGTGGAGGAGTGGGGGTGGACTAAAATCCGACAACTCCTATTAATGATGTGTAGACTTTTACGGCCGGTGTCTAGAAAATTGTTCCCCACCATATGTAGATTCTGAGACAACTCTGAGGGTGTCGAGTGTACCTTAAATTCCGAGATACTCACCTAATTTTGACTGAAATGAGTGGGGTATGAATTCGAACTCAGATGAGTGACTTGAATTGAGACTTTGTGAATCAGCATTGTGTTTATACCACCTAAACCGAGAGCTACCTTAGGGTTTGGTGACTTTATCAGTTCTAACTTCCTTTTTCAATAACGGAATTTAAAAAAAATTGAGAAAGAGGTTTGAAATGCATAACATTTGCAAACGATTTCCCAACTCCATAGAAATATTTGGACGCTTTGCCTTTTCATTCGTCGGTAATTAACGTAATTCTTGAATGTTATTTCTACAGAAGTTTTACTTTGAAATTTCAAATCATACCAACTATTAGCGGCATATCGAGTCATCTGAACCGGTAACTCAATATTTTGAATTAATTTTCTATCAGCTAAGCCTGCATGTTTTCCAAAACAGGAAGTGTGATGACTGGCATCTGGGTATAGTGAACTTTAAAGTGATGTAACCGTTCTTTACCATCTATTTCGTTTAGAAAAGTTGTCACTTCCCCATAAATATTAATATTTCGATATGTTCTTGAACTTCGAAGTTATTTATTGCATCTTTTGTAATTTTGTCCATTAGGCAAGAATGTGAAAAAACTGAAATTTGTGAGTCAATCAAATCTATATTCGAAATAGTTACCCACAAATTTCGAGTTCAGTTTCAAAATTAAGGAACGGTTTCTCGGGGGATATTGTAAATGAAATTATGAGGAAGAAAACATTTAAGTTAAGTTCAGGTTAAGTATGAACAAAATCTCGACTTTTAGAAACGACGAAAATCAAGATGAATACATCTCAATTCCATACCACCAATACACAAAGAAGTTTGGAAATGTTCTTAAAGAGCTAGGTATGAAGGTGGTTTTTGAAACAAGTCATACACTACATAGTCTTTCAGGAAATCCAAAGGACAAAGTCGAGAATTCGGAATATTCTGGTCAGGCTGAAAAGTCTATTAAAAAAAGATATCTATAAAAACACCCAGCACACCAAAACCAGAAAAATCAGCAGTCGCCCATCATGTTTTGCAACAACATCATGCCATAGATTTTGGTTCATTAAGATTAGTTGGGCAAGTTACCAACAGCACACATCTAGATCCCTATGAGAGCTAAGAAATGAGTAAATATAATAATATCATGAATAACGATGGTGGACCAATACTTAATAGTATATTATATAGCTTGTTACAATGATATTTTAGTTATCAGAGACTAGTAGATTAGGCAATATTGTAAAATTGATTTGAGACAATTGAGACGCAGGTGCCTGGCAAAGGAACCTATGATATGGAAGAGACGAACATTGTATGTAGATTTTGTTTGATTTTCTTCTTGAAGATGATCACTTGGTGACCGAAACTCATGTCGAGGTGTTGAAAATAACGGTTTGGTGTTGGGATGAAACTCCAATAATATTTGAAATCAAGTATTAACGTAGTTATCAAAATTAAACCTTCATCGTTGTTCAATTTCTGAAAAATTCCATACCTATTAGAATTCGACACTATCTCAGTCATAGGCTTTTTCTGTTGCAAGTTTTCCTTCTGGATTTTGATATTTTTTTTGTTACTGTCCCTGATCAAATAGTATGACGTGAATAGAATAGCTGCAATTCCTGCTAGTCCAGTCCTGTTGATCCGCTTCACTTTCCTTTCAACGGAGTCTTTCGGTGGTCTGTCGAAGGAGCATTTTCTTCCTGATCTGAGATTTGCAGTGAAAATGCTCCTCGTTAATTTGGTAAGTTGAATAATCATGGTGTCTTATGTAGGATACTTCTTAACATTTTTATGGCACAAGAACTTTTCACTTGAAATTTTGCATGGCGTTAGTGAGAGAAAATTATGACGTTTCTCTCGAAGTGAAGTTTGACAATTTTGGTATTGTGTCAAATATAGGGTTTAATGTATCTGTCCTCTTATTCGTTCTTAATTTTGAATTACAGGTTAGAGAACTGATCGCGATTTGAATGTTGTAATTCGATAGTGGTGCAGTTATAATTACTCAAAATTTCTGTTATCTGTTCAAAATGGGGCGTCCTTGGATAAGTACTAATAGTAATAACGAGTGTGATAACAACGCAGATTTTTTCCAGTGTAGTAATTCCAAAAGCGATGGTGAAAAATGCCAAAAAGAGATACCAGTGACTGAGATTCGAATACTTTTGAATATTGAAACCCAGAGAGTATGTTTTAATGAAATCATAAGGAAGGAATTGAATACTTCCGGCCATAACGTGAGCTGCTGTGACAAAACTCTTCAGAATTGGATAAAGACCGCTGCTGTTGTTCCTTTTCAAATTCTCCCCCATCTTTCGCCTCTATACATGCAGTACCTTGTGTCTCAAGCACAAATTTGTAATAGTTCCCATTCTCAAATTATAACTATTCAACGTGGTAATACTTCTTCGGTCCTTGTTGAGGTTATGTTCCTATCATAACCTCAACTGTCATATCACGTACTGTAGGAGTACGTCGACCTACTCCAGATAATTCGGCAAGCTTTCGTGTACCAAGAGTTGAATCCGCAGCAACCTGTCCTAAAACTGCTGCCTCCACTGCTTCGCTTCTTACTGGGTTTTCAATTTGACGTGTTTTATTTGCCACAGATCTCGTTTGTCGGAATTTTGAAATTAGTTCCAAAACGTATTTACGATGTACGTGTTTGTTTACAAATTTCGTCCGCCATTTTGAAGCCGTCATCTTGTTTTTTCCCCTAGAAAAACTCCATAATGCATTGTCACCGAATTTATGTTAAATTAGCTTGCGAATGAAGTATCATACTTTGGAAAACGGAACAGTTATTTTCCCCGCAAGAAGGCGTCAAAATCAAAAGTTAGATAGCTAAAATTGACATGGCTAAATTACTTATAAAATTACCTTTTTAACGATGTGTCACAAAAACTACTTTCCCTATTCAAATTGTTTGGGTGATAGTCACCGAGAGCTGGGGGAAGAGGTATGACAGTTGAGGTTATGATAGAAAGATGTCCCCCTTGGATTAAAAAACTACGTGTTTTTGCATTTTTTTCAGAACACATGTGTTTTGAAGATATTCGATCTGTTTCTTTTTCGGTGCCTCATTGTGTATATGTGTTACGGGCAACGTGATTAACTGGGCATTATTAAAAAGGACCGGCAATTATTGATAATGCCCAAGAGCGATGGGCAAAGTGATTCATTTATCACTTTGACCGGCCATTATCAATAATGCCCGACGGCACGTGGTCCATGTATGAGTCAGTGTTTGAGATAGCTTGAATTCATCACTTAGACCGAGTAGTATGGATAATTCTCTACTTGTAGCCGGGCAATGTGATGAATTGGTACACGGCAAACCTCGTCATAGCCAATCTTAAGGTAGGTTTAAAATCTGTCTTGCCATCATTCGACGAGTTAACGGACATAGTAAGTAAAGAGGCAATGTTAAAAGATGGTGATTTCGGTGAAGGTCAGAACGTAATTGTGGACAGAGCGGATGATGTCATAAACGAAGACAGCGATAACATAGATGAAAACTCAGCCGCTATTACTGGTTCTATTTCTGTTACGATTGAACCTGAACCCCGTTCCAAACTAGAACAACAATCTGACGATGTTCAACCAGAAAATCAGTAAAATCGTAAAATCGTAACGCTGCTAATTGAAAAGCAAGCCGAAAAAATGTTGGCGCGTTCAAATGCAAAATTTCCTATTGCAGAAATAGGCCAAAGCGTTCGCGTAAGGATACCAGATTTAGATCGAGCCAAGACGGATAGTCGTAATATAATTGCTAGAAAAACTTTACAAACTTGGAACTAAACACGGTATTTTAAACCAACTGTACTCCAGAAATGAGTTTACTGTGTGCAAAGAAAAGTTCATTTCGATCGACGATGTTCCAAAAGTTGATGTTACTCTTCGACAATGTGCTCGAAGAGACTCTCATCTTGATGGACAAGGCTTCCAGCATTCAAACTGTAGTGATGACTGCAATTCAAAACATTGTAAATGCAAGAAATCAAACATTCTTTGCAATTCCAAATGTCACAAAAGCTTATCTGGCAAGAATAAATAATTCTAAACTCAATAACTTTCTTGCGCAGTCCTTAATTATTAGATATTTCTGTTGATTTTTCTCAGTTTACTGATTTTTAAACTATTGTTTTTGAGTAGTTTTTTTATCAAAATGAAATTAGGTAACTACTGATGTTATTACATTTTTAACTATTTATTTTTCAACTACTATGTTCAATAGTTTATTTTTCATTAACTTTTCATGAAAATTTTTTTCATTTAATAAACAAAAACACTGCAGTTCACCTATTTTATCACTTTGCCCAAGATAGGGTGGGCATCATCATAATGACCGGGAAAAGTGATTACTCATGCTGTTTTAATCACATTGCCCAATTGAGTCGGGCATTATGAATACAGACCGGCCATTATTGATAGTGCCCGGACTCATCAAAATGCCCGTAACATATCTATATTCATCAGTCTCCTATCAAGGTTAATTCGCAAGTGACTGATCCACCTTCTTCTTTTTCAGTACAGTTATTCGACTTGGGCCACTCTTGCTCCCCAAATATGAGCTGCAATCCTCGTGATTCTGGTTCCATTTCAGTGGAAGATCTTCATTGATTCCAGTGACGCATTTACTTTTTCAGCTGCAGAAAAACCCGGAGAAACCTGCAGCACCAGTAGCGGTTGAAACTTTTGGTGTTTATGGCCCGGAGTCTCTGTTATTCGTTCATGAACTCGGAAGGAGAATAGGTCAAGCAACGGAATAATTAGTATTGCTATTCAACGTGGTAATGCTGCTTCGGTCCTTGGCATTATTCTTTCTTCACATAATTTTGATGAAATCATACATTGCCCTCATTTCAGTACGAAACTAAAATATCTGCGAAAGAAGCTGAGATATGTGGATATTCATCAGTCTCCTATCAGGGTTAATTCGCAAGTGATTTATCCACAATGGACTTAGGTCATTCTTGCCCCCCAAATATGAATTGCAGTCTTCGTGGTTCTGGTTTCCTTTCAGTGGAAGAGCTTCATGAAGCAAGAGCCGAATCGATCCCTCTACAAATTCTGTGAAACATGTTCATCCTTACGATTCAGTAGACAGTTGTCCTGAAAAGCTTGAGAAGAAAATTGGATTAGATAATTTAGGAAACACTTGCTACATGAATAGCATTTTACAAGTATTATTCATGACGAAGAATTTCAAGACCGAAGATTCAACGATGAACCAGCGTGTCACTAAGTGGTCTGGCAATGTATTGAATTGGAGACTCGGGAGACAACCTACATTTTGTTTTATGAAAGAGAGGACATTGGCGGATCAAGATCTTCAGATGATGTGGTGCTGCAGGTTTTGCTGTAGCTGAAAAAACAAATGCACCACTGGAATCAATGAAGTCGCCCCGGTGGCCAAGTAATTTTTGATGTGTCATAATTTCATGATTTGTATTACTTTTTTCTTTAATATACAGGGCTATTCAAATTCGTTTCTGTACATGGGGATCTCGTAAACGATAAGAGATAGAGTATTGGTTAAATCGTGGCAAAGATGCGTATTTTAGAGACCTATTCAATGGTGTGAAAATTGGATAGAGCTCTTTTGGTTCTGGAGATATACAGGAAAAACCAAAAAATTCCAAATTTTTTTCTGTCTATATCTTCTTTATTCGCAGACATATT